GTCCATTTCTTAGGTGCACTAGTTTGTAAGGAAGGACAGATGAGATCTAGAAAAATGGAACTGAGGGTAATAATTTCATAATCCTGCTACATTATAAGCTAAATTAATAAGGAAATAGTGTCCAAAGTCCAATTAACAAGAAAACTCTTTTATTGATAGAAAAGCGAAACAAAATTTTCATGAATTCTACTATCTATTTTATTCTACCTGTTGGATATACTCAAGTTCAAAAATCAGTCTTGTTGTCACTATCATTATTAATCTCTCTACAGAAACACCCCAATGCAATCACAAATTTCAGGGAAAATCCATGCCTAAAACAGGTAAGACCACTTTGTATATCACTGTCCCAAATTAAAGCTAATTAAATTCATATTATCACACAAGCCTTTTTGCCTGGCATCAATTGCATTATTAGACTGGTGACAGTAACAAGTATTGATGTCAAGCCATATAAGCTAGTTCCCAAATATTATTCAACAAATGAAAAAAAAACTAGATTCAGATTTGTTTAATCCAGTGATTAAATGTCCTAATACAGACAGGGAAATTCATTCTTATAGGAACTGAAGTATCTGTGAACCACAATCACCAGCTCCAAAAAAGAATAGGTGGATTTTAGGTTAAAATTCAAACTCCAGATTCAGATGTGATTAGCTCTGAGGAGCTGATCAGATTACAGGTTCTTGTTCTAATTTAATCCATAGCTTTCACATAATATGAATTACTAATTTCTTAGTTTTTATCCACATCAACACATCTAAAGGATATGTGTTCAACACTGGAAAAATAAACTTTTAACCCTGGCCAATTAATTCCATTGATACAAATAGAAATGGAAATGAAGCCAAAGAAGTTTTTTTTTTTTGAAAGCTAATTTGTCCATATTTTCCAGAAAGTTACTTATCAGACTAAAAACTTAATGGCCATGTTTTCACTTTACCTTTAGCTATACAGATATAAGTTGTACTTACACAACATATAGCTTTAAAATAAAAAATTAAACTACAGTCCAGGTTTGTGATTTTGATGGCCCTAACCCTCTTCTGGATATTTTTGTGTTTCATCTAGATACTTGGACTACATTGATCTGGTCATAACTTTATTATCATTGTCACTAGCATAGGAAAAGAAGCTTATCAAATTACCAATTTCCAAAGTCAATCGGGACTCTCTCCCCTTTCAATAAGGAAGGAAAAAGTCATTCAGATTTGACCTCAGAGAAATAATTACATGCATATACCTGACTTCTCAGTATCCTCTCTGGATAAGAGAATGGAACAGCTACTTGGTTTCCATCTTGTTCTTGTAGTGACAGAAAAGAGAATACAAAAAGTCCCGTTGTAAATTTGTACAAAATGTATGCATATATAAATACAGATCTATGCGCATATATAAATTCTAAAGATTATATTCATCTACGTCTTTAAGATTCAGAGTCCCATACAGTTGACATAATGGCATTCTTTCTCCAATTTTCTCATTTTAAAAACAATAAGAATCAAGCATGCCACCTTATTAATACTGAATAGCAAGAGCAGAAGTTGAGCTACAGCTATAGAGGTTTGAAGCAATTAGTTTGATGGGACATCAGTGAATAAAATCCTTAAATTTAGCTATTTCCAGAGTGCCTTTTGTTTCATACAAATGAAGACCAAAATTTCCCATTGGTAGCATCCCAAACTCCTGGGACTGACAACTGAGCTCTTAAGAAGCAGTGTTTAATACACAGTTTATGTAAACTGCTTGGATATGTGCTTATTGCAGTAATTTGGTGTGGGTACTGTCTTACTAGTACCTCATATAATTCTTTTTCTATCTCATTAAAGTCTCATATGACTTCACCAGAAGCATAGAGTTCTGAGTATACTAAACTTCATTTGAAATTTGATTTTAAAAACTGTATGATCTTCTCAGAGGACAGTATTAAAATATTCAACCATAGTCAATTAATGGAGAAAGGCATATGCATGTAAAGGTGCACATTAAATCAGTCTATCACACATATATGTCCATGGTTAGAGGTATGAAGATTTTTAAACAGTACACACTGTTCTTTTAAATCTCCTGCTTCTTCTATTCACTTGGAAAAACTTCATAGGACACTTCCCCCCAGGGTTTACAGGCTGTTCCTTGGAAAGGGATCATTATTGCATGCCTTAAATGCACTATATAATTCATAAGGCAAGAACATAGGAGTAGCTTCAGCACCAAGAAAATGGAGTCATCACCTAATACTGCTCACAACTGAATATGTTATTGCTTTAATAAAATGGGAAATTACTCACTGTAAAAAATGTACCAAATAAGGGGAAAAATAATGTCCATATATTTTAGTTGAGCTCATTAGAAATTAGGATGCTCCGTTTTGGGTTTTTTATTCTACTCTACATCCAACTCCAAAAGTCATTTTATAATAAGATATTAAAGAGCTAGAGCTGTTTGTGGGTAAGCTACAAAAATTAATGAACTTTCATCTTCACAGTGCCTTAGTCATTCTTGATGTACAATGTGGAGCTTTAATGCACAAATAGATTCCCTAGTGGCTTAAGGGAGTTAATGCACTCTTTTACTTAGTAGGAAGTGATGAAGGCACTGGAGAGAATCTGGTTCATTGTTTAATGTTTTGTATCCAAAGACTATCCCTGGTCTTCCTGATGTTACAACATAGGATGTTTAAATGATGACCTCTGCTTCAGGAAAGCACATGAGTAATTATCTAACTGGTTTAAAATTAAGCTTATTAATTACTCTTATACAAAATGTAGACTGAACTTGGCCAACTTAATAGATGACCAAAAACAGCACAGTTAATATTTTCTCTGGATAAGAACATATATGCCTGGAACCAAGACAGAATCTAGAACAACTAGTTACTTGGAAGAGGGATGCACCTAGGTGCACTGTTGTTTTGCACTCAACAGCACTGAAAATACTCCTTTGACTAAGCTTTTTGTAAGTCATTCTCTTTCATTCATTTTACAAATATTTCAAAAGCTATTGAAGGATTAGCTCCCAAGGAGGGATGCCATCACATATATTAGAGATTTTAGTGTGCTTCTGGCCCCTTCTATCCTCAATCCAAGGGAAACAAAGTGGTATATAATCATAGGCAGACTCCATTTCTAAAAGAGAAGGATCAGTCTGGCATCAGAAGACAAAATAAAATATTTTTCTCCTCAATGCTTTTTTATGTATTCAGTGAAATTAGCCGAGCCATACTAATAAAGGAATCCCACCTTTGTGGCACCTCAGACACTAGCACAGATTTTTAACTAAACAAGGTGCAAACATTTTTATCCTATAAGATTGTGCGGATTTCATTCTCTTGAAATTTGCATGTCTTGTCATCCAAATTGCCCAACACCCCACCAGTTTTGCTCCCAAACACATACAGTACAAGCAAGCTCACACACCATTGCCTCCAGATGAAACTTAACTGCATGCAGGGAGAACTACAGGCACTGTTTAAATATTAATCACATTTTAATAGATGGCATTCCTGCACATCCATTATTCGTTTGTCTTCCGTTGTTGTGGTTGTTCTGTTATTCACAAAAGAAGAAGGAAAACATGTGTGTTATCTTTTTATAACAGTCTGCTACAGAGTAAGGTACAAAAGAACACTTCTGGAAACAGCAGAAGCCAGGCCTACACCACTGAGTTCCTCTTCCAGTGGCAACCATTATATCAACAGTTGGAAAGTAAGAATGAGAATATACAGTTTGGAGGACTTAGTACAGAACTATAGTTTTCTTTTGTATTTGGTACCAATATAACAAATATATAACAAAGGTGCATTCATTCTAAAAATAAAACAAACATTCTGATTGGTTAGATACTGCACTTTCAGTACTACACATCACCTAGTAGCTTTTTTTTTTTTTTTTTACAAAAAGGTAACTTATGCAACACTTCATAGTAAGAAAACTAATAGTACACGCTAATCTGATTGTAAAAAAGGAAAAACAAAGCAAAACAAAAAAAAACAAAAAACAAACAAACAAAAAAAAAAAGCCATTGTAGTCATTTTCCAAAACAGCCCCTCCTCTGCTATCACAATCAGAGGAAGTAACCATTACTGAGGCGATTTCAGCACCAGGCCTTGAAGGACAGCTCCCGAGTCCTCTGACTCCTGAAAAAAAAAAAAAAAACGCCACAAGACAAAAAGGTGTACAAGTGGATTGGGCTGGGAGCGGAAAGCAGTAGGTTCTTTTATTTTTGTTCTTGCTTTTTTTACTCATGTATAGATTTGACTGTATTTAGTATGCTCGGCCAGCGAGAGACATTTACTAAACTAAAATGCTCGGTCCTGGAAAAAGTAATGGTTAACCAAGGTATGAGAAAATGGTTGACAGCAGAGGGGTACCTGTCCCGGTCCTAAACATTTTTCAGGGACTTTCTCTGTGACCTTTTTGTAGTCCTGGTGCTTAATGTAGAATTTTCTTTATAATATAATATGCCCGAGCCCAGCTGAGAGTGAGAAAACGGGAGGAGAGAGAGAGACGCTAAAGGAAAAGTGAAAGCTGGGGGCGGGAGGCAGGAGGGGAGGAAAGTTGCCTTAACCTGATAGCTATATACAACACTACTGGGCCCCCTCCCTTCCTTTCGCTCCAGGTCTCAATGCCTTTCATACATTTGGTAGCTTGTACAGTTTCTCCTCCGAACCGAGGGGGATATATGGTGAAGAGGGAAGATGCATCGTTCATTGACAATGAGAAAATATGTGATTTGTCATGCGCTTGGATTGTTATTAGTATAATAATTACTATAAATATTAATAAAGTATTATCAGCACTATTTCTTCTTCCGAGACTTTCCTTGCCCAATATTTACAAATACCGCACAGTGCCTCGGCGGAGGAGAAACGGGGGAGGCGGGTGTGAAGGAGAGAGAGGAAAGAAGGGGCAGAGGAAATGGAAAAGGAAGGAAGAAGGAAGAGAAGCAAGGATGGCAAAGATGCTGGAAATGAGACGAGGATGAAGAAAGGGGCTACACAATCAGGACAGTACCACCGTTTGCAAAACGCCCTCGCCAGCTGTGTCCAAAGAGGAGGAGGTTGCATGTGCCCCTTGTGGACTGGGGGCTGGCGGTGGAGGCGGAGGAGCACAGGGACCCTGGCGAGGAAGCCCTGGGGCCGAGGAGGAGCAGGAGGAAGTGGTGCTGGAGAGGGCGCTGAAGGCGGAGTCCTTGGGCTGCCTCTCCAGCCGGGTCTCTTTTCCTTGAGTTGGAACCTGGCTGCCAGCCCGGGGCAGCCCCCCTCCGCCACGGCTGCCGCTGCAGTGATCCCGCTCGTATTCCTCCTGAGCCCTCTGCATCTTCCGCTTTTTCATCCGACGCTTGTGGATGTGGAAGGTGGAGAGGGACAGCACGATGAGGCAGAAGATAAGAGTGACCAGGACAATCAGCACCAGCGTAGAGGAGAAAGACTGGAAGAGCTGCTGTCCCACCTGCGTGATGCAGGTGCCGCCCCCTCCACCGCCTGCGCCGGGGCTGTGGGCACTTGGGCTGCCGCTGCCGCTGTCGTTGGGGGAAGCCAAGGTCCGATTGAGGAGACACGGCGGCAGCGCCAGCCTCAGCTCCTTCGGTGCCCGGGCACTCATGGGCGCTGGGCTGGGAGGGGCCGGGCCCACCAGGCTTCCTCGCTCGGATACACGGTCCCCACCAGCCACGAAAGGACAGAGCCCACGCCACCCAAAACTACTCCCTGCACGGGAGGGCGTGCACACGCGAGCCAAGGACCGAGGAAGACACTGCCAGAGCGCGAGTGCCGCCGGGGAGCTCTTCTCAGGTCTCCCCTCCAGCCAGGCTCCGGGAGCCCCTTTCCTTCGCAGAGGCACAGGGCTGCAAAGAGAACAGGATTGGTTAGGGTCCCAGGCACTGCCCAGGCGAGAGAGCGAAGAGCAAGGAGGATCAGCCACCACCGCAACGCGGCCCTGGGTGCGCTGCCTAGATTGGGCGCTGTCGGTCTTCTGCGCAGTCCGCGGACCCCAGCCCTACCGCTTCCCCAGCGAACCCGGGTGGCGACTGCCGTCTCCCGGCGCTCTCTGGAAAGGGGTCCACGCCAGCACCGCGGAGGTAGAGATTACTCAGCAGATAAGGCGGCCTCCGGGCGCCCTTTACAACTTTCTAAATGCAAAGGTCTTGGTGGCCGCCTCGATGCCGTCCTCTACCTCCCGGACTACCGACTCTGCTCTCTGCTGAGCCCTTGCTGGATACTAGCAACATTCGAGCCTCAGATCTGGCTTCAGGAACGCAGTTCTCCTTCCTGTCTTCCCCTCGGGACTCTTCCTCCCCGGACATGTCCGACCACTTGGGTCCCGCTCCCAGGAGGGCACTCCGGGCAGCCCAGCCCTCTGCCTTCGTCCACAGCCTCAGCTGAAGTGCAGGTCGTGCCCTGTTCCTTTCTCCAGCATCCCCGGCACCTCCCCCAACCAAAAAAATGAGGCAGCCGAGGCACCTTTGTGGGCTGAAAAGCATTCCTGCAAACGCCCCCTCGCTTCCCCTTTGCCTGCACCCCCTCCTCCTCCAGCAGACAGTAACCTGCTTCTTTCTAAGGGACCTGGAACTTGAAGGGGAGGGTCCCTGCCTGCAAAGTTTGGGGAACAAACCCTCTCTCCGGCCTTCCCAGACTCGCCCGAAGAGCTGAGACTACCACACGCAGCGCAGCCTCCTCGCTGCTCCCCCGAGGCAGCTACAAACTGTTGCACTGCGGAGCTGCGAGGTGGCCGGGGTCCGAGCTGGGGGCAGGGGCGTCCACCCGCGCAGGCCCCACGACCTCTCCTCCCTACCTCCCCACTCGCACCCGCCGCCGCGCCTGCTGGCCTTCAGAGCCTCCGCCGCTCTGCTCGGCATCTCTTACCCGGAGTCGCCAGCGGGCTGCAAGCAGGGAGCCCCTGGCGCGCGGCTGCAGAGGCGGCTGCAGAAGGCGCCGAGCGAAGGGGCCAGAGAGCAAGTCGTGCTGCCTGCCGCTGCCTTCGCTGCCGCTTTAGGGAGCTCAGCTCCCAGCCTATTGCCAGAGAGGCCGGTGACGTCAGACAGTCACCGCCAGGGCTCCAAGCCACCCTTCAGGCCCCCACCCACCCTCATACCCTGACACCTTATTCTGGCACAGCGATTTCGGCTTTGCAAGCTCCGGGTTCCCCGCTCTTCAGTCTCCTGCCCAAGGCTACTGGGAACAACTCCCACCCCACCCACCTCCACGCCGCGCCCCCTCCCCCCCAACGACCCACCTTCCACGTTCACCCCAGGAAAGTCTGAAGCTTCAGTTCTTTCGCTGGCGGATTTCTCATCTTCAACCCTTTCCCAGGTGGTCCCAGGAATGTATGTTTGCACCCTATACAAGCTTCTCCCAGGACGGACAGATCAGACTTTCCCCGGATGAGTAATGCAGGTCCCCGTACCCCCAAATCTTGCTCGCGCTGCCCCTTGTTCTGAACATACATGTGTACATTAAAGATGACAGGGACATTGGTCAACGAAAGTGTGACAAAACCTAAAATATAAATCCATAAGTGAATCAAACAATCGAACCGTTTTTATCACCACCAATACCAAATTTATCTTTCATTCCACCTGACTCTCGGTCCTTCTATCTCACACACTCATTTACAGGCCCAAAACCTATTCAGTGTGTTGAACACCCCTTCTAGTTGGACAGTCTATACACTCAGGCGCATACACGGGTTTACATCTAAATTTCTTAGAGTGCAGAAACTAATGTCCCATGAAAATTCTGAGTGTCATAACTCTACAAAATACTCCTTCATTGACCCTAATTTTTGTGAAAGTGTTTAGTGCTTTTCTCTTATTTGTAATATTGTAGTATTAAAAATAGCCTTTCAGCAAAAACAGACAGAATTTCTAGAAAGGTTCTCAGCATCCTGCCTAAATCTTGTTAGGAACTAGCACGCTATTGGTTCAGAGCCCTTTGAAAAAATAGGTACAATGCATTGCATTACAGTAATCTTTTTTAAAAAATTGAAAAAGGCAGCTTATGATACTACATAAGAGGCAGCATGAGGTTCTTGAAGGCACTTAGTTGTCATTTAATGTGCATTTCTTTTTTTCCCGTTCAACCCTATTTTATTCCCCTCTTTGAGTTCAGCAAGTGCCTGGACAATACTTGTTGGTAAATTGAGCAATGCAGTATACATTTCTGCCTTTTCCTGCAATTCATTAGAAATGGGAGGGATGCTTAAGACCCACTTATCTGCTTCTATTTTCTGTACTGGTGAAGAAAGAAAGTTTGATATGCAGAGAAAAAGATTGTCTGTAATATGGGGCAACGAGCCCCTCCTTCTGACCTTGTCTTCCGATCTAGTTCTACTCTAAATTCCTACCTTACTCCTTTTTTTTCTTTTTGCTCATGTCTTATACGTGGAAGGAAAACTATACCATAGCCCCCAAAATTTTGTTTTCATTATTTGAATACGAGGCATCTGGACTGGAGATACAAGCCAGTCACAGTCTGTGTATAGCACCGTTCCTACCATCCGCACCCCAATAAAAATATCAATGAAAAATATCACTGTTTAAGGTAAACAATTGAATATAAATAATGCATAGTTGCTTTAGACCATAAACTGATGCCCTTGCCTGGCAAAAATCACAGTTAATGATGGGCAATGACCCCAGTGCTAGTGCGGCCTTCCTGCCTAGAAAAGGTCACCTGGCTCTTGTGCAAATCAACTTCCACATGTCAGCATCGTGACTTTGGTGGGATGGAGGAATGATGAGCCATTATGTTTGTTTCACTGTGACTACTGAGACTTCCCCAGGGACACCTGATAGGCAATGCATCATTTTTGCACACAGTGTTTGCTCTTGAAAAGTTGAGTCTAATCCACATTTTGTAAAGCAAATCCAATTTTAAATGCTCCAAAAAGAGATCTAGCTATTTAAAGAGATTCTTTAGCAGTAAAAAAGAAAGCTATCTAAAACAGCAAAGAGTCTTTACATAATTAGAGTTAACTCTCAGTGTTCTGTTTCCAGATTCAGTGGCATTAACACATTTTCTAGAGGGAAATATTGCTTCACAATATGTGTAACAGTATCATAACATATATGTAATGAGGTTCCTGCACACCATGCTTTTAGGGCATGTCAAAAGACTGACACTGTTCTTATCCTTTTGTGACAAAGGAGAACCATCTGTTATATCAGGAATGCTAAAATGCATTTTTACACAACCTATGTAAAGACAAGGTCGTACCCTAGAGAACTGAGATCCCACTGCACATAAATATGATTCAGAACATAACAGTATTTAACTGGAAATGACATTGATACACTGAAGACATAAAGTTTCAAGTTCCAAAGTTCCAAGTTCAGAGCCCAATCTGCCTCCTTTCCTTTCCACAAAGAGCAAGCTGTAGGACCATAATTGTTTTTCTTCTGCAGAGGACAAGTGTGGTAAATACATAGACTTGGGTGTCATTGGGCAGTATGATTCTGATCTAGGGAACAATGAAGACTTCTTGGACTGAAGGATCTTGATCTCACTGAGTTGTCATATAATTTTGGCACATCAGGCATAATGAGAAGATTTCTTCTATACAATAGGTTGCCACTATTTAAGCCATCAAAAATTTTAAGCCACACTGTTTAAGAGTACAAAATGAAGAAACTTCTGATAGTCTCAGAATCTTGTGATGGAAAGATCTTTTTGAATTCAAACACGTCCCAAATATTCAACTAAATATAATACTTGTTCACAAGCTTTAAGAAGGATCTCTGTCTAGCTCAGAGAGAAGTGCCAAACAGGCCCTTGCATATCAATCCAAAAAAAAAAAAAATCACTGAATCAGCAATACTGATAATAATGCTAGCTATTGGCATTATTTTAAATACTCACTATATGCTAGGCTGTATCAAAGTCTCGAAACCCAGTCCTAGCCCAAGCCCGGTGAGTGTGTGGGACAGCTTCTGGCTACCCTGCATTGGTGGGACCTACTACTGGTCCTAGCCCAGGCACAGCGTGGGTGAAACCCTCTTACACCCCCTTGGGACACGCCCCATCAATCCATAGTACCCCCACACACCCCGCACACAGAGTAGCAATTTCTGCCGTGTTCCGGGAACCCCCGGATCCAGTTCTAGCCCAGGCCCAGTGAGTGTGTGAGAGAGCTGCCTGTTCCCCCTACTCCACCTTGTCCCCTCCAGACTCAGCTCAGGCCTGGCATACAGGCCTGTGGTGAAACCCTGCAGCTGAAATTCCTGCAGAGAGTGTAGAGGATAGGACCACCCAGCTAGTCCAGGAGCAGAAAATCTTGCCAGAGGGGCACAACAGATTCATCCCCAAGGGCAGCAGCAGGAAGGAGCTGAGCACAGCAGCCAGACACAACCCAGGCACAACTGGATAAATCCAAACTTTGTAGATCTTCATCTGAACTTCAGTACATGCTAAGGTTATAACTACAACAAAGATCTATAACAAAGGTCAGAAGACAGTCCTACACAAAATGATGAGAAGAAACAAAATGAAACCTCAGAATCCAAGCCCACCCATAACAAGTGCAGAGCACAATAACACAGAACAAATTGG